CTGGTTTTTCCAATCGTGATTATTGGAGCTTCCGGGGTGAAAAAAAGGGGGGGACGAACAGCAGTTCGTTGGGTCTTCGGGGCAGCAAGAGTGAGGAAGAGGGAGAGATAGTGAGAAAGCGAGGGACAGTGAGAGGGGGAGGGAGAGAAAAAGGAGGAAGCTTGGCCGTCGTGTCGTGGCCTGTCTTCCGTCCTTGAGCAGCCAGCTCTATGTGTGGGTAAAGATATCTGCAGCGGGCTGCTCGTGGGAGAGGCGATTTCTGGTCGGGTTTGTCGGAAACAAGGTCTTGGGCCTGAACGGGTAGATCTGTTTATGGGGTCTGTTTTGGGAAAAGGCGTCCGTGGCGGGCTGCTCGTGAGACTGAACATTTGTGTTCTCGAACTAGATCAGGTGGATCTATTTCCGTCCTCTGTTTGGTGAGACTATCTCCGGTGAGCTGCTCATGGGACCGCTCATTTGAAAAAATGTCTTTTGAATCCGATTTGTTTGTGGAAAAGTGCCCTCGTGGCTTCTGGTCTGAAGGGGGGCTCTCTAAACAGCGTAAGGGTACGTGAAATTCGTGCGGCCGAGCTTGACCGAAGACAGGATCTTTTTGAAAAGAGAACTGAGGAAGTGAAAAGCTTGAGACAAGGCCAGTTTGACTCAACCATTCTCCTCGAGTGCATGACAAAGGAGAAGGCATGGCTTGCTTGAAGGGCGGGAAAGAGAACTAAAAAGGCCATTRAGAGAGAAAAGAACTTAGGCCTGCGGGAGGGGCAACGTGTTGACCCCAATGGGGATTGTATTGGGTTCTTGCTTTGCGTGGTCTTGTGCAGGTGAGTAGTTCGGGATGGTTTGAGCGGGACCAGATCTGCGGGACACGGGCAAGGGTGGGAAAATCGACAAGGGAAGGACATGGGCCTAGCATAAACTATGAATGTGGGAGGGACTTGATGGTTGAATGCTCGGGTAAGAGATAGATGACGGGATGCAATTTTGCATGATGAATGGATGACATGGCTCTTTTGTGTGCAATTCGGAGACCTGAAAAGACTAAGGGCGGCAATGGATATGCGAGTAGGATGATTGTCAAACAAAAAAAATATAGGGGCTAGGGGCATGGATGGCTGTGTCGTCGCCCGTACGTCGTACAGGGGGTCTCCTTACGGCCCGTCCGTACGGACGGACGGACGGTCGTACGGGCATACGGACGACGGCCATCCGAAGCTGTTTTAGGGGCAAAAAAAAATCAAAAAAACAAAGTAAAAATATGGGGTTGTAGATCTTTTCGAGACCTACAACGCATGCTTGTGTTCTATTTTTTGACCTTAAAAAGGATTTTTAAAAAATCAAAAACAAAAAGAAAAGAGAAAAAAACAAGAAAATAAAAGAATTTGGTACCAAAACAAAACGGGCAGTTGCCCCGCATGCTTGTGTGTGTGTGTGTGTGTGTGTGTGTGTGTGTGTGTGTGTGTGTGTGTGTGTGTGTGTGTGTGTGTGTGTGTGTGTGTGTGTG